CCGAGGTACTCCTAAAACTAACTTAGTAAGTAGTAAACCCGGTATAGAAGGAAGGTTAGGCACAAGGTTAGCAACCTCTACCCCCTAAAAACAATGTGACAGGTACTGAAACTTCAAAGCTCAAGATTAAGACCGTGTGTTCCACTCAAAAGTCAAAGGAAGAAAAAAGAAAACAAAATTTGCTACTGACGTAAATTAAATCATATGAGAGAGAGAAAGAAAAAATTTCACAATAATATTGTTTCCAAAAAAAATTGAAAGAAAACTAGCCTATTTGGTTATAATGAAATCAACCAACACGCCATCTTAAACTAGTTTGTTTACTATGAATCCATTTTTTTACTGTTTTTAATCACTGAAATTCCTACAATAATAAAATGCTGAAGAAAATTATAGCGTTTTGCTACAAGAAGGAGACTTTAAATGGAAAATTATTAGGCGGAGCAATATTTAAGTAACTACTGTTCTCCTTCTTCTTTAAGCTTATATTCTACTAAGATGCTCAGAAAAAATTGTTTCAGCCACCTACAGTCACATTATAATACTTTTATCACATGATTTGTGTACAACTGATGAGATTCTAAATTGTCTCATTGGTCGAAATTCATAATACCGAAGTAAATATGAATTTCTATGTTTGCCTTATTTTTTTAGATACATTCATGAACAAAAATCACTAAATATATTAGTTGAAAAAGAAAGTTTTCTAACGTGTATCATAATATGACAGAAGTTGGAACTCATGAACCATTGGATCTAATCTCAGTGGTTGAATGGTTTATGAACCCTTATAATCCTGCGTTCGAACCCCTGTAGATGCGTACTGAGAAGAAAGAGTCCCGAACTAGGACAAAACAGCTGTCTAGTGATTCTTTAAATTAAAACAAGCAATAAAGTCAAAATAAAGCAGAAGTTAGAATTCATGGGCCATTGGATTGGGTCCTAGTAGCTTAATGGTATACGAGCTCGCTAGCCTTGTAACCAGAAGGTCTTGGGTTCGAACCCCGGTGGATCCGTACTGCTGAAGGACGAAACAGCTGCCCAATACTCCTAGCTTGTTTTCCAATGGTTCTCTAAATGATGTCAGCTCATGATGAAATTCTGTAACCAATCAATCAAATCCCTACAAAACCAATACTTGAAAATAAAGCAGAATTTAATCAATTCATCAAATTTCGGTAGAACATTTCAGCTGAAGTTCTACCGAAATTTGATGGAATCATTAAATTCCACTATATTAAGCTTTGTTGTTTGTTTTAAATTCGTATCAAGAAATCAATGTTTCCGATTCACTAACTAACGTCAGCTTGTGATTAAAATCTGTAACCTTATTATCATAATTTTAACCATATTCCAGGCGGAAAATGCTTGACAAATGATAAAATATGTCTTATAGGTGTGTATCGTGTTTATTATAGTTCAGTTGATCCTGCAACCTAAGTTGGTAGATCTCATTCAAATTAAATTTCAACTCAAAGCTACTGTATATATATATCATATTTTATGCATAACCTATAAAAATATCAGTGTGAAACTATTTTTGAATAATTCAAACAGGAAAGCAATAATTATTTCAAAATAGAATGTCCTAGTTCTATAAAATAAAATAATTTACTTCAATGTAATATACGTGTAAAACTTTGGCACTGTGGTAGTATATAATTCCGTATCAATTTGTTTATTAGATATTTCACACCCAGTGAAACAGTATTATTCACTGGATGACATTTCACAAACAACTTATCGTTAATAATCATATCATCAATTATAATCAGACAACTTCAAAACTCGAGTTTTATAGTTTGTCTTTATTCCTTCCTATTCGTCATCATACGGGGTAGTAGAACATCCCAGATATCTGGGATAGATGTTGAATCATTCCTATTACATGTGTTTGCAGCTAACTCGATAGGCAAAGCCTCCGTTATCAGTCTCTCCCTCCACCCTGTTGCATTAGATTTTATAACTGTCGTCTTATCGCAAAGAATTGTACGGCTGTATGTGATTGCATGTAGTCAGTGGTATAGCTCAACTATTCTCCAGATTTCTTATCTTATTCAGGTCAACTAATCTAGATTTTGTTAGGTTTTGTGCTCCTCTAGTCTGATTGACCCTGTTCTACTACTTTGACCTATGTATTTGACCTGACAATCATTGGAGGCAGGGTATTAGATAAACTGAATTGTTTTGTTTAATTGGCTCCACTGGCAGGATCCTTTAACCGACAAAGCTTGTTTCTAATTGAGTTTGTGAGTGGTTTGAATCCCAGTCACGTTTATTCCTGCATTGTTAAGAAATCTCCTTAAGGTTTCCGAGGTTCCCTCCTTTTATGGAAGTACTACTGATGATTTGTATTCCCGATTGTTGGTGCTGTCATTATCCTGTGCATGTTTGACATGTATGTCATCAGTAATATTATTATTACTGTTTTCATCACCATCCCTACCACAATTATTATTTATTTCATTTTAACTTTTTTTTGCATACTTCCTGATTAATTCATCAGGGTGATTATTAAGTATCAAGTTTTGAAGTCGTGCGGTTTAAACTCTTTCAAAGTATATTTCCTCACAAACCAGTATCGACTAGGTAATCATTGAAAACTAAAGAGCATTGGACAGGTGTTAAGTTATGGTTTGGGATTGTTTATCATGATCACACTAGAAATTGAACTCAGTCACTTCACTGTTTACAGAGCCAACCAGTTGACTATTCAACCACTAGGTAATAGGAATTCAGGAACTCGTGAAATCTAGATTCTGTGATTTCGTGGTATAGTGATAACATCTTCACTGAAGATAGCTCATATCCCAACAAAATCTAATGTCTGGTTGCATTCTATCTACAGAAATGAATGGTATCATCGAAATGGAATTCCTGTCTCGAAAAACAATGAATGACAGCACAATTGCCTAGGAGATTAACATTTTATAAAAACTAATGATTACAATAATCCTAAAGACAGTACCGAATGATGGTGCGGGGAGAAGACATAACACAGAATTAATGTCTTTTAAGTAGAAATGAATGAGTTGGGGAAAAGTCAAAACCATTATAGGTAAGTTTTGAATAACTAGACGAATTAAAATTATCTCTTTAGAAACAGAGAGAAAGAGAGGGCCGGCACATATTATTATTATTTCCTTTGATTCCTAGAAGAACATAGGGCTTCAGCCAAACGTCTCCATTGCGTTCGGTTCTCTGCTAAAGTTTTCACCTGGTTCCAAGTCTGCCCACATGCTTTCATCTCCTCTTCACGTGACCTCCTCCAAGTTACCCTTGCACTGACGACCAAATCGCCGCTTCCCTTTCGGGTTCCACTCGAGCGATGGCCTGACTAGTGGTGTCACTTGATGGTTTCCTCAGAGTATAGCCAATCCATCTCCATTTCTTCCTGGTTGATTCGCTCCCAGAGATCCCTGTTGCTGATCTTTCATGGCCATCTGATCTTGAGTATTGAGCGAAGACAGCTGTTGATGGTGTGTAGTTTGTTTGAGATGCTGTTTATGACGCGCCAAGTCTCTGATCCGTATAGTCAGTAGTGCTGACTTCACATTGGAGTTGAAAATCCGGATCTTACTTTCATTTTCACGGTGAGTGCTGTTGACCTCCTGCACACAGACTTGAGAGTAATGAAAGCTTGCCTTGCTTTCCCGATCCTAGCCTTAACATCCTCGTCAGTCGCGTCCGCCTGTAGTTGAAACGATGCTTCCCAGATCGGTAGATAAATGCGGTTGTTTCTTTCAGGTTCTTCCCAGGGTCGGCACAAATGTATAACTCTAAGAGTGATTTATATTTCCTGTCATTTTAATACACTTGTATAGAGATTAGTGAACCAGTTAAAAACTAAACATTCCTACTGCAAACACTTCAATCAACTATTGTTTATGAAAAAAGAGTCACTATTGGATTTGAATCAAAACACTGAAAAAATGTATAGATACATGTAAATTGCGGCTTTCGCTACACAATAAAGTGATTTTGTTTTTTCATTATCATCACAATATTTTTTTGATATTAAGAAATTAGGAAGTTAATCATGTAAAATTAGTTGGTGGGTTGACTAAAATGAACAACAAAATTTGTACTAAATAATGAATGTTTGAGGAAACAAATGCTAAACAGTATTCAAAAATATTTTTTAAACATTGTTAACTCCAATACTATTTACTGTATGTGTAGTGTATAGAATTATTTTACCAGGTATAGTCATTCATAAAGATGCTGGAAAATGAAAAATTGTTGCTTCTGAATATATGGAATTCTACTTGATTATATAAATTTCAGGCTTAAGTGGGAACATAGACCTATGTACTGATCGAAGACAAGATCGCTATATGTACTCATTTGAATAGGACGCATTACTATAGAAAATAATATTCTCTCTGAATGCCTTACAACAGTTTCAGATTTTCCAGTCGATGGATTAGATCTAAGTGCTCGGTCTTAAAAATAGCGGGTACATCCAGTTGAGGGGTCCAAAACAGGACAAAATGCGCGTCCTGGATTCCACTACTAGTCACCATAGACTATTTCACTTCATAGTCCTACGTAATTAGAACGCTGGAACACCGCTAGAACACCTAGAAGTATCGTGAGTACTCACTGCTGAAGAGACCCAAACTACGGCAAAAGGGCCGTTCAGCGTTTCTTCAAAGGATATCTTTGCATGAAAAATCTGCATCGGTGGCACAGTGGTTAGGACTGTCGCCGACTATACACATAGTCTGGGGTTCGAGCCTCCGCCGACGCACACCTGATATCCTATTGTTGGCCTGCGAAATTTGGGCTACCGATATCACATGCTGAAAATTCCATACTCGTACCAAAAGTACAGTGTAGAATCAAGCCATAATAAAAAAAACCCAATACCTGGATTATAAACAGTCGAATGATATTATGATGATATATCAACAGTTGTATCAATTAACAATGGCTGTTCCCCCCAAAAAAGAAAGTTTATAAAATGTAAATAAGAGATCAACTTTACAAAAACTCACCTATAATTTTATCTGAATTGAAAGCACAGGTAGGAAGAGTTGAACTTGTAAAATTAGAATGTTCACTAGCAGGCGCTATGACCAGTGAAATTGGTGATGATGATGACATTGTTACCGGTGGTATATAACTCATCCCATTGGCCCAGTCAATTTGGGATGAATAAAAGCAAATAAAATAAGCTATATCTGGAAATATAAAATTCAAACTATTTAATTGATCTGCAAGCCAGAAATCTGCGAAAGACACTTGAGCAAATGGAGCTCTGAATATCCGTCCCTAGAAATTGAAAAAGATACAAATCAATATTATATGGATCAAGTAAGTCAAAAAAAATATATAGTACTGCTTTATTCCTAGGATTACCTTTCGGAGATATCTACTCCTAATCCAACAAAACTTTGGTGACATAGCATATCTTGCTAAAAAGCAATTTAGACGAAAACAGAATGAACAGTTTTTACAAGTTTGACCACGGATTCACATCAGTCAGAGGACCATTGGAAAACCAGCTGGAAGTACTGGACAGCTGTTTCATCAGCCTGGTTCGGGAATCATCAGCAGTACGCAGTCACTGCCAGGGTTCGAACCCAGGACCTTCCGATTACAAGGCAAGCTCGTATACCATTCAGTCACTGCGACCAGATCGCGCCAAAATCATGCATTGGTAGAAGTTAGAATTCATTCACTGGCCATTGAATCGAGTCCCAGTGGCTGAATAGTATACGAGCTTGCCTTGCAGCTGGAAGGTCTTGGGTTCAAACCTCATTGGGTGAGTAGTGCCCATGATTCCCAAACTAGACTGATGAAACAGCTGTCCAGTACTTCCAGCTGGTTTTCAATGCTTCTCTAACTGATGTCAATCCGTGGTCAAACTCGTGGAAACAAATCTAAGCCATACAAACCAACTCTTGAGAATGAATTGTAACCGATACTGTTGGTTCACAATTACTTATTTAATTAGAATGTAATTTTCTGATTCAAGAAGGTTAAGGTTGTGAATTATGTATCAAAATAGATTCAACCAAAACAACGAGAAAAAAAACCTAGTGGCGTAAAAATCATTTCAATGTGGAGAATATCAACACGCTGATTGCTTGATTGGAGGCATACAGTTACACAGAAGAGAGTTTCTGTATTCCAAACTTTAAGTCACGGTTTTAGGTAAGGAAGGATAATACTATTTAGTGATCCAGGTTGAAGAAGAGATTCACTAACTTATAGTCGAGTGTTAAAGTGATACATATTAACGCTCTTGTTAAATCCCATGCCTAATATTAACTGGACATGACAATCAGTTAAGAGACATTGAAGCAGATGTGATCACTGGACTAACCTACAGCTGATTGATTACAAAAGAATAAAGTCTGAGGATAAAATGTGTTTATGTCAACCATAAAAAATCAAATATGGTTTGTGAACATTTGAGATGAAATGTAGAATGCCTCAAAACCAAGAATGACCCCCTCCCCCAAAAATCAGTTGAAAGTTACTGAATAAGTTGATAGTAATTTCAGTCTAATCAGGTTAGTTTACCAAACACAAACTGTTAGAATACAAAATTAATTAGCACAATACTGTGAGGTAAAAGTATACTAAGTAGGGTAATCTAATTTTGACCAATCACCACCTCGTTTATAACTACATTTGATAAAATTAGGTCAAATTCAGCCTACTTATTTGAAGAAACATTTACGAAACTGTTTCTGTCCTTCCCCCCTCCGCACCCTCACTCATAGCTGACAAATGATATGAAAAATTTGTAAGTTAAATGCTATTGAGCCAAGGAAATATATAAACAAGTTTATCAATAAAAACGGATTTAAACTATCAGTAAAATAAAACGCAATATTTACATAAAATAAATAATATTAGAAATCTTTTCTACTTTTTGTCAGTTACATTCATTCTAAACATCAGTCATCATCTACTCTCCTGTTAAACTCCAACTTGGTCATGTGATCAAATTGTCCTTTTATTAACGATTTAAATTTTCAACCCAGTAGTTGTTACTTTATCTATAATATTTTAGTTATTCATCCTTGTATTTAGTTGAAGTTTAGAAGCTAAGTTTTAAGAGTTAATAAAAAAAGGTCAGTTGAGTAAACCTGAGTTTTGAACTTTTATCAAAGTCAGATATGATACTACGTCAGCATATATACATATCTTCTACAGTATGGTTTGTAAGGGTTAGTTTTGTTTTTACGAGTAGATCACGGATTGACATCAGTTAGAGAACCATTGAAAACCAGCACCGGAGTACTGGACAGCTGTTTCATCCGTCTAGTTTGGGAATCATTGGCAGTACACACCCACCACCACAATTCGAACCCAGGACCTTCCGGTTACAAGAACAGCGAGCTCGTATACCATTCAGCCACTGGGACCCCATTCAATGACCACCCCATGAATTCTAACTTCTACCCATTCGTGATTTAGCGCGATCCCGACCACTGTCATCGGTGAGACATCCATCCTCACACGTGACATCTAACTGGACCTCACTGGTCACGACTTCTCACTAGGACTGACTCCAGGAAACTCCATCCTGTAGCAGGTCACTAGCGAGCATCAGATTAATTTGCTATAGCTTGGTTTGTAAGGGTTATTATTATTTTTACGAGTTGATCACGGATTGATATCAGTCAGAGAACCATTGGAAAACCAGTTGGAAGTACTGGACAGCTGTTTCATCAGCCTACTTTGGGAATCATCAGCAGTACGCCGATATATATATATATATATATATATACATATCTATTAAGTAATTTTTACCAGTTCAAGTATTCAAGAGACACTAGACTTTAGTTCACTGAAGTAAAACAAAAAAAAGTGAAAATAACAGATAACAAGTTAAACTTTCAGTCATAGATGTAAACTAGAAAGTCTTAATTATTGATTCATTACCTTAGTATCATCGTTTGGAGAATGGAATTTCACTAATTTAGATACATACTGAACCACTTTCTTATCCAGGTATCAAAATTATAGCATTAGCAGCATACTACAGAAAAATGATTTCAGGCACTATTATCTGAGTGAGTGAGTTTTGACAATCAACGAATAGAGAAAACAACAGACTGCGGAAATAGAAAGCTGCTGATTTTTAGTCAAATGTACAAATTCGATAATCACCATACAGTAAGTTATGGTCGATGTCGTAAACAGCTATAATATATGCGGACGAAATATAATTCCATTGTGACGACTATATTTCTTCAGAACAAAATATTTAGAGCCAACAATTGATTTCAATAAATTCTCCTTCAAGCTCTACAATTATAAATCCATTAATTTAAGCTTACAATAGCCGCCAGCCGGTAAAGGCTAATTAGAATCATATCAGAAGGTGTATTGTGGGACAAGTATGAGATGCGATGGAACAAAAGTCAGTTAGCTTTTGAATATGCATGATGAATGAGAACATGAGATGAAATAGTTTAATGATGCGTGTATATGTGCATATATAGATGCAGTCAACTAAAGTACAGGTCTCGAGGGTAATTGTAATCAGTGGTGTGTGAGACAATATGATTACTATAGACAATAAACCCACGAATGAGCTGGACTAAACGTAAGTTCAAAGGTGAAAATAGCGACAATGATAATGATTGTGAAATAAAAACGATGATCTGGAGTAAACCTAAAAGTACTGTTGGTGAATGATTATCAAATAATAATAATGAATTTAGGGAAATGAAAGGAATGGGATTTTGTAAATATAATAACAAGTCAGAATATTCTTTGTTCTTTTGAAAAATTTTAATGTGTATTTTTAATCAGAAAAGCATTACTTAAACTTAAGGTAATAGAAATCATAAGAAATGTCATGAAGTCGTCAAAGGTCAGAAATGAACATTTGTCAATCAAACAAAAGAAAAGAAGATGAAAAGGTAACTTACGATAGGAATTTAAAGTGCTAATGTTTACGGAGGATTTGTTGGCCTTACTGTAGGCCGAGGCAAACATGGTGGTTGAACATACTTCAGTGTACAAAGAGCCGACCTTCTGGTATTGATTGCTACCGCTTCAGCTACTGCTCCTCTAGATAGATTATCAGGAACACCATAAATGACTGAGAACGCTTGCTCAGGTTTTATAGAGTGTTTAGTATCTACCAAATGGGCTAAGACTGCACTATTTACGCATTTGGTTACCCCTTTACTAAACCACACACGTACATGTTCACGTGCGCTCATGGATAAAGCCCTTTGAGTACGGCCAATGTAACTTGTTCCACATGAGCAGTTGAATTCATAGATACACACTGATGAGGCCACCTTCCATAATTTATCCTTGACTAGTTGTGTGAGTAATGGTTTAATCAAGAAGCTGAGTACCACTGCAGGAAGTGTTGTCTCTTACGTCTAGTCCAGCTCATTCGTGGGTTTATTGTCTATAGTAATCATATTGTCTCACACACCACTGATTACAATTACCCTCGAGACCTGTACTTTAGTTGACTGCATCTATATATGCACATATACACGCATCATTAAACTATTTCATCTCATGTTCTCATTCATCATGCATATTCAAAAGCTAACTGACTTTTGTTCCATCGCATCTCATACTTGTCCCACAATACACCTTCTGATATGATTCTAATTAGCCTTTACCGGCTGGCGGCTATTGTAAGCTTAAATTAATGGATTTATAATTGTAGAGCTTGAAGGAGAATTTATTGAAATCAATTGTTGGCTCTAACTACTTTGGAAATATTCAAGAGACTAGATTTCTACCGAAATCCTCAAAAGCCAAAGCAAATAGGTGAAATAAATTCACACTTCGCTTAAGTGTTGATACTGAATTACTAAATTAAAAGATTATATCAACTGATATGCGCGTCAATGCTACAAAGGATTTCATGGCGGATTTGCAGTCCCTGACTAGGCTTTAAATGCCCACATCTTTATCGGTATCGCTGAGCTACGGCAAATTTTACTGATGTCTAACCTCATCAAGTACTAGTTTGTTTATGCGCAAATGTTGAGTACTGCCAGAGATAAAATAATAATAATAATCAGTGTGTATACGATAGTCTTCAGTTAGAATTAAAAGTTAGCATTCTTTTCACTTTCAAAGTATGACCTTACCATGTAATACAAAAAAAGGCTTTTATATCTGTCTATTATAGTCTTAACTAGATATATCACAAGATCTTATCGATCATATGGAGTAGTAAAAGAAGTGTCAAACACCACCAACAATAATGTATTGTGAAAATTTGAAATATTACCATCACAAATAAGCATTGTTCTTCCAGATCTATTGCCAAT